GAGAGGAAATAAAAGTTGTGAATATTTCTCTACGTCCAGGAAATAAAAAAATACAAGAATACTATTACAAGAATGTAATAGTATGTACATAAAATGGCAATTTATTGTCTTTTATCAAAAAGGCTAGCCCAGCTCAGGACAGCTGTCTTAAGTTTGCATAATGAGTGATGTTGAAACACAACTTCTAGCTCTACCAACAGATGTCCCAGAGGCATCTGATAGAAAATCTGGCTTGGAAATTTCAGCAGCTGCTGTTGTTAATATTTTAAATTTTGAGCACCTTCTAAATTTTAAGCAAAGTATTACATAATATTTTTTTAAATTGGTAAAAAGAACTGTAAGTATTGGGTGACTTTTGATTAAAAGTAATGGACTTCTTTTGATAAACTCCTTGAATATATCAACTAAATTATATTCAGAAAAATTATAGATATTCTAAAATGTCTTAGGGCTGTAATCTTGATTCTGGACTCCAGTAGCCAGCAGAAGAGAGATCAGTTTTACTCCAATCTATTTCAAGTGTTGTGTGTGTTATGAATACACATAATTCCAAAAGGTTCCCCCTCAGATGTCAGTCAGCTTTTACCTTTTTTGTAAGATATAGACAGGACTCTGCCTGTCTCATTGTGTGCTTATATCCCACGGATGGCCTTGCTTGCATTGTCATATTAATGGAGACAGCTTGAAATGTAGAAGTCTTTCAATGAATGTAAATAAAATGAAATTATCTACCTGAGAGTTAATGTTCTCTGCTTTTTAAGTGAATTCTAAATCTAATGTTTGTATTTACAACATAACATCCTGTTCGTTCTCTCTCTCTCTGTCTCTCTCTCTCTCTTATATGGGCAGAAAGCTAAGCAAGCTCAGGCAGCTGTTTGATGTTGGCTTCAAGTGTTATTAATTTCATATTCTATTATTCTTTTCACTGTAGCACAAGTGAAGCTGATGTGGAGGCTGTCATGGATAAGTTGTTTGATGAGCTGGCTCAAAAACAAAATGATTGTACGTAAGTTAATTTCTCTTGAAAGAGAATACATTTAGAACACAATGCCCAATCTCCACTGACCAATTAATAAGTTCTACTGCTGTATATGGGTTGATGCCACACTCAAGTGGCAGTCATTGTATCAGCATTTTGTCTAATTTATGTGTTGAATCATGTGCTATTATTCATCAAGCTATGCATTTCCTATCTGTAAGAGATGAGTTTTATAGTAATTATCCAGACAAGATTGAGTCTTTGTTCATGTTCCCATAGTAACTAGACCAAGGATTTTAAAAGTACAAGGCAGAGGACTGAGAGTGAATAAAGCATGTGGAACCATTGCAGACTTCACATTTGAAGAGCTGTGTGACAAAGTGAGTACACCATCAAGCCTGGTTGGGCTTTTCAGGTCTGTTTTGATCATATCCCTGCTCCAAATAAGCCTTCAGATCTCCTTTGAGTTTATAGCAATCACTACAACTGAATTGCAAAGTAGAACTATAAACACTAACAAGATGAAAAAGCAGGTACAGGATGTTTCTCTTCAAAGTAATCGGTGATATTTAATGTCAGTGCCTTTTTATTTTTTTACAAAAGAGTCTGTTGATGAATTGATACCTCAGACTTAGCTGTTTTTACTAATCATACCAAAAGAATATTTGATTTTCAGCAATGGACAATATTTTGCAAGAAGGAAGGTTCTTGAACCTTTTTTGGTTTATGAAAACATCTGACTTTGTGAACAATATGTACTGGTTGTCAAAGTGAATGGGCAGAGACAAAATGCTACAGCAAAACCTCTTCGAAAGCCAAATTGGTGAAGTTAAAGGCAGAAGCATCATTTGGACATACAGAAGAGTTTAATGTTTTGGCAAAACAGCCAAAAGACAGGAAAATTAATAGTTTATATTCATACTGAGTCCTACCGATAACAAATAATGCCCCTTCATCCCACATACACATCATGCTAGGTAGTTTGTGTGGTTTAATGAATCTAGCAATTATGATTTGTAAACCTGACAGTCTGAACACAGCCATATATCTTTCTCTGGCTGACTTCTAAACTCCTAAACACATCTCACTTCCAAGCTTCCTAAAGTTGCTTCCGGCTGCCCAAATCGTTTTGTGCTACTGAACCAGTACATTTACTGGAGATCAGGTTTTTATTTTTCTTTACACTTCCCCCTTTTTTAAATGACATTTAGGAGGGTCAGCTGCAACATATCAATTTCAATTGCTGATCTTTCTTTCTTTCTTTCTCTTTCTCTCTTTCTTTTTCTTTTTTTCTTTCTTTTATTTTCTGAAGAAGGCTCTGGACATGCAGAGAAAGGGCATGTCTGCATCCTTGCTGCCCATGGTATAAAAGTTGCTTTGGCTGAAAAATAGGTACTAAACTATAGTATATATACTAGGTATAACCTATTTAGAGGCACACGGAGACTGTAAGAGATGTTAGAGACAATCAACAGGCATATCACCCAGTCCTGCTTTTGACATTTAAGATCCTACACATAAAAGAGGCTTTATCTTTAACAAAACACACAGGAAAAAAGTTTCAAAATATATCTATAACAATGTAGAGGTTATCCTTAACTTACAACCATAATTGATCCTGGCAGTTTTGACAGTCATAAAGCAGCTTACCATGTGACTCGACCCATTTTATGATTTTTTTGTGGTGGTCATTAAACCCATTGTTTGCTATGGGCCAGATTTTGCCAGAAATTAGAAGTAAACACTGAGTTCTGGAAAAAACATTGTAAATCGCAGTCATGTAACCATGGGATGCTGAAAACAGCTGAAAATATGGATGGGTTGCTGAGCACCCAAAATACGGCAGGGAAGGGACATTGGTACTTCAAAATGAGGTCTTAAAATCCCTTTGGGAGGGAGTCCATTGTAACTTCAAAAAGTTGGTGAAGTATGCAGATAGTCAAACGGCCATAAGTTGACTATCTATATGTCTCCAGTGCTACCTCATTGTTTAAGGGGGGAAATCTTCATGACATTAGTTCCTTTCATCTGTGTAGAACAGTGGTTCCCAAACTTGGCAACTTTAAGACTTGTGGACTTCAACTCCCAGAATTCTCCAGC